ATAAGCACTCTGTAATATCGTCCATTCGCTGCTCTCTGAAGGCCCTGCTGTTATGATTATGATTATTGCCACACTTTTATTGGGCTCATTGTTAAACACTCTTATTTGCTCCAGCGTCCTCCCACAGCTACGTGGGAGCCGCTTATTACATAGCTCTGGGCCTCCGAATTCCATCCACCAACACATCTGCTTCCTCTAAAGCGGACATCTTGAAATGGCAAAGTTTATGGCTGTTTTATCTCATTTGGTTTTGTTGGACTAGGTACGAACTGAGCTTGTCCCAAATGGCACCCTCAGCCCCAACAAAGAGGTTTATTGAGGGCGGATTGCAGCTGAATAGGCGCTATTGAGCACCTTTTAACTATAAGATAAAAATGTGACAGCCTGTGATCTTGAGGATAGATACACGGAAGTGAACACCACAAGCGTGCACATCCACATCAAGTGTCCCATTTAAGACATTTTTTTTTTGCATGCAGATGATGTCCTTTGTAAACTACAGCAAATTACTGTGTAAGTTACTGTATCAAATCCACAATTTGGCAACATAATTTCACAAAAGGGCGTATTGAGGGCACATTGAGACTGCATAGGGGCTCTGTTGATTACCTTATGAACCATGAGATTTTTGAACCGTGAGAAAAATGTGACAGTGATCTTGTGGACAGATACAGATACTGTACTAGGCCACAAGATCGCATGTCCACATCAAGTGTCCTATTTGAGACATGCCCATTTTTAACATTCAAATGAAGTCTCCGTTACCTTTAGTCATACTCTGTAATGTACAATAAATTATTTTATACATTACTACATCCAATCCACAATTTGGTAACATACACTGTAAAAAAATATGTAGTTTTTACAAAATAATTTTGGCAGCTGTGGTTGCCAGAATAATTTAGTAAAAAATATGGAAAAACTGTAAACACATTTACAGAACAAACGGTACAAACAAGCTGAAGTATACTAATATACAGAAGGTGCAAGAGTCATTCACACAAACACAAAACACCATCCTGGTAACATATGACACTTAAATAATGCAATAAACATTCATTAAACAACAGAAGATGTAACATAAAATCCAAATGTACCTAACTGATAACAAAAACTATTAACAGCATTTTATTGTAAAATTACATGAAATGTCTGGTTAGATATTTTACAGTTTCTCTCTGTATATAACATGTTAACTTACTGTGAAAGGGTTAGTTCATCCAAAAATGAAAATTAGGCTGTGTTTTACTCACCCCAGAGCCATCCTAGGTGTATATGACTTTCTTCTTTCAGACGAATCCAGTCGGAGTTATATTAAAAATTGTCTTTGATCTTTCAAGCTGTTTAATGCCACTCAGCGGGTGTTGCATGCATCAGTCCAAAAGAAGTTAAATAAAAAGCGCCCATCCATTAAAAAAAAAAAAGTGTCTCACAAGCGCATGCGCAAGGCTGAACTCATACGTCATCAGCCCGGAGCTGCTTCCGTGTACAACTGTTGGCGCAAGCTACATTAAAGTGATTATTACGTTTTAAATATGGTTATTTTTCTTACAAAAACGCATCGATTCGCTACAGGAGGCCTTTGTTCACCCCCGGAGCCGTGTGAGACGCTTTTTTTTAATGGATGGGCGCTTTTTATTTAACTTCTTTTGGACTGATGCATGCAACACCCGCTGAGTGGCATTAAACAGCTTGAAAGATCAAAGACAATTTTTAATATAACTCCGACTGGATTCGTCTGAAAGAAGAAAGTCATATACACCTAGGATGGCTCTGGGGTGAGTAAAACATTTTTGGGTGAACTAACCCTTTAACCTATTAACAGTTTTTTTCCCGCAATGCATTTTTTCAATATTTTGCAGTTAAAATTACAGAAATTTTGTATTGTAGGTTTTCAAATGGGCTTATCAAGTATGCACTGCAGCTACATAGGGGGTGCTATTGAGCACCTTTTAAGTCTTAAGTTTAAAATGTGACAGCCTTTGATCTTATGCATAGATACACACAAAAGAAAGTCAAAAGACCACACATCCACATCAAGTGTCCCATTTGGGACGTGTCCATTGTAACCATGCAGATGAGGTCTCCATTACCATGAGTCATACTTAGTAATATATATTAAATTATTGGGTTCATAAAAGTCATAAGGCATTTCAACAAGATGTTAGGTTTTTGGCCATAAACATAAAGTTTGCAAGAAATGGTTTGGTTGGACATGGCCTTATGGACCTGAATATTGCTCTCAAGAGTAAGAATAAAATGAGATATCAGTGTTTTAGTTGCAAGTAATAATACATAAATAAAGTTTTTATATGCAGTGCATTCAAAATTTTCCCAGTCGAACACATTGAGTAACTGCATCAAAGCCAACGAGTTTTTGTAGCTGTTTTGACTGGATCTAAGATAATGTCATTGCCAGATTAGATTGTCACTGTCTGATTGTTTAATTGACTAATTTGTTAAGTGAATAATTCAACACTGGCTGTTCTGATGAAGTCGTGAGAATATGTTCTCAAGTGTGTAATAGTATTAGCCTGAGAATCAAGTTTAGATCAGAGAGATAAAAGGCCAACCGTGAAAGGAACTGTTTCAAACTATATGAAGTATCCTGAGTGACCTCAGAGTTTAAAGGAAAATACTAGCATCATTTTCTCACCATCATTTTGTTCCAAAACGTTGTTATTCAGTGGGAAACAGGATGAGAAATTTAGAAAAGTATACTGATAAGCTTTCAAGCTTCCAAAGACCACAAAACATCATAAAAGTATCATAATTGTGATCTTTTGATGTGTTATTAAAGCTTTGTATGAGGAACAAACAGAAATTTAAGTTACTTTTATTTGAATGATTGCAAATTGAACTGTAGGTGATCGGTCAGTGCCTGACAGATGAAGAGGGTCAGTAATAAAGCTCTAAAGGTGACGAGGCAGTGCTTGTTTGTCAGGTCAGTGTTGAGAGGTAGTGAATCAAATCATGTCTGGAATGGAGTTTAGTTTCGACCCCACTGCAGGCCCTAAATCAGCAGGTTATATTTGGCCCATTAGGCCCCGACAGAGACTGCAGGCCCAGGTATAGAGCAACAAAACACCAACTAAACACCACCTCAGAATCTAAATCAGTGTGACGAGTGGGGGCGGGGCCGAGAGCCATGGGAACGGAGTGAGGCCGGTGGAGTAATTGATAATGAGCAACACCTGCACCACTCACCGGTCTCGAGTCCCATGGAGGAGCTCCGGGAGGATAAAAGGAGGAGCTACGACAGTGAAAGAGGAGAGAGGACCAGGCCTGGATTTTATTTTGTGTTCTGGTTCTGGTTCTGTCGTCTGCGAGGGGCTGTCGCGCTATTTTGTGTTTTGCACCACTCACCGGTCTCGAGTCCCACGGAGGAGCTCCGGAAGGAAGGATAAAGGAGCTACGACAGTGAAAGAGGAGAGAGGACCAGGCCTGGATTTTATTTTGTGTTTTGGTTCTGTTTGTTTGCGACAGTCGTCCGCGAGGGGCTGTCGAGCTATTTTGTAAATAATAACGCTAATAAAATAAACACAAAATAGCGCGACAGCCCCTCGCGGACGACTGTCGCGCACAAACAGAACCAAAACACAAAATAAAATCCGTGGGACTCGAGAATGGTGAGTGGTGCAGGTGTCGCTCATTATCAATTACTCCACCGGCCTCTCTCCGTTCCCATGGCTCTCTGCCCCGCCCCCACTCGTCACAATCAGATTTTGGAACATTTAAAGTGACAGAACCCAAATCCACAGCTTTCTTTTTCTCTCTTTTATCTCTATAATGGGTAAGTGCGAAATTGTATATTTTCATATTTTTTTTCGTTTTCACTGACTAGTCATTTTATTTAAAGTAGATTTTATGAACCTTCTTAAAAACACTGGAAAAAAAACAAGAACCAAACATGAGGCAGTGGCCAGAGACATTTGTCTGCATGTCTCTAGCATTAGGCCAGCATTTAAAAAATAACGCAAAATATAAATAAGCTGAATATCTGCTAAACGTCTGTGTATATTATAACATTAAAGCTCAAACTAAGTAGAAACAATCTGTATAAACTATTCATCCTCGGTAATCCATCCATCCATGTTGAACAGCTCTCTCGCTCAATTCACTATCACCATCTTTTATGAACAAAAGAGCTTGTGTGTGAAAGTTCAAATACCAGTGAGGCCACATATTGTGGCCATCCAAAGAAAAACACGGCTTTCTTAGTCACTGTGTGATTATCAGCAGGGTGGAGAGACATAAATAGCACAAACTCTGATAAGGAGTAACAGGCATCCACAGTGCTGCTGTAGTCATGTTTTTGGCACTGACATTACTAAAAAAGAACTACAGAATGCAGGCGAGGAGGGAATGGAATGGAAAGAGAAAAGATGACAGGAGAGACATTTGGATTAGAGGAATGGGAGGTTTTTATGACACAGAGGTTCTAGACATTGGGGTCAAAACCACACATGGGGTCACCATAAATGCAAATGGAGTTGTGGGGGGATTTCAGTGAACTGTATTTTATTTATGATATAAATAAAAGCTTTGTCTAGCATGATTTTTATAGCCGTTGCATTGGCAAATCCTATGTATGAAATATGCAGCTTTTCTTGTGCTTAAAATATTATGAGATGTATGCTACAACGCAAGAGCAATTGTGAACTCAGTGTTTGAGTTCAGAAAACATTTTCATCAGACATTTCCTAAAAATGTCACGTGGTGTTACCATCAAATTAAAAGTAACATATTTTCCGTACACCTTTAAAACATATGAGTGTAAATGTGTATCAGAATAGAAAATAGTGTCTCGCATCATAACAAAATTTTATAAGCATTTTATTAGCTTGATTGTAATTCTATATTGGCTGCATAATATTAGGTGTCTGAAAAGTCATTCCAGCAGCTGAGGCTCTGAGGACTTTATACAGTTCGGAGCCCCATGTGTCCTTTCCCTTTTCTCTTTGCCGTTCTCATTTGACCCCTTTCTTTGCTGTGTTCAGGTGTCATTACATCTGCGGCCCATCCAGTCCCTGCATGTGCACCAGAAACCTCTGGTCTTCGTCCTGAACTCCCCTCAGCCCGTCCTCTGGAAACTTCGGACAGAGAAACTGGCCTCAGGAGTCAAACGCATCTTCCATGTGAGTCTGAGTTGCTTTATGACTCTCTCTCAAACCGTTTCTCTCTATCACATCCCCGTCTCTCCCTATCCTCCCCAGCACTGCTTCTGAGTCATCTCCATCCACATTTTCTCAGTAATGAATATTCAGATTCTCATTCATTCCAAATCAACAAGCATCTTTAAACACACAATTCATTTACACACTCTTTGGCTTGTCTTACCTTCCTCAAACAAACTTCTCCACTCTCCTGTCAGCAGAGGTCTTACTCGCTCAAAGATGCATTCAGGTGTGTGTACCCAGAGGAAATACAAACAAGCTGACACACACACATCCATACACACGTAAACACACCCCATGCCAACACAACCATCTTTCAGACAGAAGCTTGTGTAATTGCATCTGGCACAGGCTTACAGGTTTATATTGACTGCTGTAGTCTGTAGATGTTCTGTAGATGTTCACCACACTGTCTGACGGATGTTTGGTGGCGAGATGGTGCCGAGGAGGTTTATACTCTAGTTGTGGCTTCACTCTGTTCCCCACTGCTTTACCCATCGCTTTCACCACAGAAACACTTACTGCTCAGTGGGCGGTTTTTCGTAGTTTAGTTCTCAGTTATGCATCAACTTTGTATCATATGTTAATTCTAAAAAGTAAAAATGGGACAAATGGGACAATTGTTGACATAAAGTAAAAGTGTTATTAATTAGTTATTTATATTATTAAGAGTTAACAATGTGAATAGTATGGCTTAGATCTCCGACTTTGGATTGCAAAATTTTATATCTTGGGAAATTTAAAAGTCTTCTGAGATCTCTACTGAAACTCTAGAGGAGACGGGTGAAATGAATTTGAGCAGCAGGACAGCCTCATTAATGAAATACAAGCAGAGCAGATTTTTGTAAATTGTTTGCAAAACCATCATTAGTTTTGGGGATAGATGTTTACTCTCAATAGCTATGTTTACATGTACACAGATAATCTGTTTATAATCAAATTGATGGTTTAATTGGATTGAAAACCTTCATGTAAACAATCCAATCGATCTGTCTGAGCTTCTCTAGCATGCGTCCTAATATAGTTATCAAATAAACCTGCCATTGTATATCAAAAATATTGTTAGCTCATTGGCAAATTGCTTTTGTTCTTCTTGTGTCGCTTTGGATTAAAGTACCCGCTTTTGCATTAATGTAAATGTTTTTCATATATTTTACATTATATGAATATGTGTATGCAACCCTCTACGGACACCTTGGCAATTGAATCGCCATTGGCAAGTACATTTTTTTGTTTACTCGCCAGACTGAAATACTATACTTTATATATATATATATAACCATGAACTTAGGACTGGTGCTGGTGCTTTTTTTGGTCATTCAGTGTTCCTGTAAAAAATTGAAAAAAAATAAACCTAACAATAATACTGATAAGATATTATTATTATTATTATACGAATTCTACTAATAAGAACAATATAAAGCGCACTACGGATTAACGAGCTTCTGGATTCATGAATATTAATCAGGTTGTGTGCGTTCGCTCGAACTGATTTGCTGAAATCTAAACAGGGACGATAATAGGTGAGCACCAGCCAATGAGATTGTCGTTTGCGCATTAGTTCCGCCCACTACCGGAAAACCCGGCATTTCTTAAAAGCTGAAAAATTCCCAAGGAACTCCGTTATTTTGACAGGAAAATAAAACAAAGAATATCGTGATTATTTACGTATGAATACTGAATATTTACTAAATAAAGGTCTTTTGACATGTTTGTCAACTTTCTGTTTAGATATGTCATCAAGGCAAAAATGACAATTAAACTCATGGTAGCTCTGGTAAAATTATGATGGTGCTTTTTTTGTTTCTGTTTGACAGGGCACTATGCAAAAATGACAATTAAACTCATGGTAGCTCTGGTAAAATTATGATGGTGCTTTTTTTGTTTCTGTTTGACAGGGCACTATGCATAGGCACTGAAGTTTTGTTTTATGCATCCAGATTGACAAAAAAGTGTATACCAAGTGTTTGTAGTGTATTGAACTATCCCCTGCTCAAGCGCAAATTTTCTAAAATTAAAAAACAGATCATAAATGAAATGGGTCAAATATTTGGCTGATATTACAGGACTGAAAATAGTCTAGGTCTGTCACTAATGATTATTTTGGTAATCGAGTAATTGGTTGATTATTCTGATGATTAATCGAGTAATCTGATAATTTTTTTGTGGTAATAAAAATAGACCTAAGCGAGCAATAGACTTTAAAACGACTTAAAATACATATATAATTAATAGCAATGAGGCAATAATAATTGGTTCAAATAAAATTTCAAAAGTAAGTAATCATTTGGTTTTATTGAACAAAACAGTAAAAAATGTAATAAAACAATATAATCATAAATAATGTACATTATGCATTATATCAAATGCCTGCAGAGGGCACCAAGGGCCTGACGATTATTTTTACACTTTACAGAGCGATCTAATCCTTGTTTATTGACTAAACAACATTTAATTCAAATGTCCATCTAATCTTTAATACTTGGCCACTTCTTTATGACAGAAATGCTACAGCCAATGTCATTTCTTGAACAAGAGCATGTGGACATCGAAACGTGCCAACTCAGAGCGAGGGTTTAACCTTTTATCTTGAAGTCGCGATGAACAGTTAACATATTTAGAAAGATAATTATGTATTCTACTTTGTTGGCATAGGTTTATAAATTATTTACCTTATTAGTCTGATAAAATGGTGCACATTGTTCCCAGATGAACGTTATAAGCGACTTTCCGCGCATGTAAATGATAACAGTTTGTGTGGAGCAGCATTTACTATGAATGGAGCCGCTCTGAGATGCACGTAACCTACATGCATATAAATAAAGCACATATTAAACCCCCAGCGCATATAGGCCTATTTAATTGAAATGCAGCCTCTATGATTTCACCATAGCACTATGCTTTATTATGATTTTTTAATGGTTTTAAAGGGGTCATATGATGCGATTTCAATTTTTCCTTTCTCTTTGGAGTGTTACAATTGGAGCCGTGCTGGTTGCTGAGGAAATACTTTGTGCTGTGGATCGCCGGATCGGCTTTCACCATGGACGAAGCGGAGTCCAGCCTGGGGTCGTCACATGTGGTTGCCGCAAGCCCTCCGGACGCTCCTTCGTCGAATCCGCCGGTCGCGCCGTTCTCAAGCCCACACGTGCGCTTGCGGAGGAATGTAAATACTCACGAGAATGAACGAGTGAAACTCCCGCGGCGAATAGAACGGCTTACAGTTAATGAAAAGCGCTTCTAGATCGGAACAGCATATCTTCTTTAACGCTGTAACATCTGTACACCACCTTTCGTTGATGTAAAAACATGTCCCGCCGCCGCGTGATTTCCCCGTTGATTCTGCGTCGCGGTCTGCTCTAAACAGCTGAAAGCCGGGCAGTTGTAGCGCGCTGTCCGGAATGGCGTCATTCAGCCAGGTTTCCGTGAAACACAGAGCAGCAGAGTGTGAAAAATCCTTATTTGTCCGGGAGAGCAGAAGAAGTTCGTACGTTTTGTTGGGTAGAGAGCGGAGATTCACCATATGGATGCTGGGAAACGGCGTTCTGAATCCGCGCTTCCTGAGCTTCACGAGCACGCCGGCTCTCTTCCCCCGTCTGCGCGTCCTGAAGCGCTTGATCAGCGCAGCAGCTCCGCCGACTACAACGTTCAGCAAAACGTCCGAATAAACGAAATCCGGTAGAAGATTGTGTGGTGTGTTCTGCCGAATGTTCAGCAGCTCATCCCTGGTAAAACTGATCGTGTTTGAGAAACAAAAAACAGGAAAAACTAACAAAAACAGTACAAACACTGGAGAGCCAAACACTGAGGCTGCCGTCTGCGTCGCCATCGCATATACTGTAATATATATGACCCCTTTAATATTTCGTGCGGCCTTAGAAAGCAGTCTAATAATGCTTTTCATGGATTGTCGTCCGTGGAATGCACCACTTCCTGTATTTTGCCGGTTAACCGACATGGGCAAAATGCAATCGAGGATTTTTTAAATAATCGAATACTCAAATTTAATTGAGGAATCATGACAGCGCTAAAATAGTCAGAATCAGAGTACAAAATATTACCACCTTTTATAGTAAAGTTAGCATGTAATGGAAATTCACTATACTCTATATGCATTTTGATGATCTTATAGTGAACAAATTTATCCATGTTTCTTTTTTTTTTCTTCTTTCTTATATTTTTCTTCATTTATTTTTAATGTTTTGATAGTTTGATCTTCCTGTGAAACAACAGACTTCTGTCTGGTGCTGTATGCAAGACTTCAATCATTTTATCTGTTTAAACTAGGGCTGTCAAAATGGCTGAAAAACTAAATTCGAATTTTGTACTTAAATATTATCAAAATTCGAATTATATTATAATTTAAAATGCATAATTTCAGTTAGGGTGAAGAAAAACTTTTGGCTTCTCTCCTGAGGCCTCTTTTGTGCGAGACGCGAGTGCAATGGTGATAGATGTCCTTATAGAAAATGCGCGAAATATGCATTCTGTGTGAACGGCTTGGTTTCAGTTTTGATGTAAGCAAGGTCTTCTCCGCATTGATGTTCTCTTTTTCCGCAATATTTTTAATGAACAATGCAGCAGCGCAGCATCTAGTGGCTTCAACTGGACAGGATAACGAATACATTATAATGCAACGACACTTACATCGTCATCGCATCTCATGTGCCACTGATAAGGCTGCCTCCTTAACGCACACCTAAAATTCGAATGCAACGTTTTTGCATTCAAATGTGGATTTTTATTTTAAATTCGACGAATAGTCGAAATTCTTTTTTTGACAGCCCTAGTTTAAACCCTACATCTTACAATCGATTGCAAGCTCACATTCAGATCTGCCATCCAATCAAAAGCCAATGAATAGAACCAAGTCCCCACCCTCCTTTTTTTTTTGATAATCCGTTTCACTTAGATGTTGTAACAAGACAGAAATAATCTATCACTACTTCTGTTACATCACA